ATCGAAAATGCCTGCACCCCTGAATGGCAACGACTTTGCAAACTTGAGAACAAGACCTGCCATGTAGATGAGGAAGAAGTTCCCCAGTGTGGATCTTGTTTGGAAGGATATCAGCCCGTGAACGGAACTTGCTTGCGTACGTTTGAGCTCCCACCAATGACAAGACCTATGAGGAAGTATACTTTTCAGCCGTCCAGAACGGTGGAAATTGCGCTGATCCCGCAAAGAATACGTGTGATGTTAACGCCGAATGTATCGATGTACATCCAGGACGTCATTTCTGTACTTGCAAGATTGGCTACATAGGCGATGGACTGAGATGTGACGGTAAGTTCTTCATACAACGTAAATAACCTCTCAGCCCAACAGAAAGCAGCACAAGCACTTTTTCACTTCGCAAATATCCAAATGCATGTGTTGTTCACTGTTTTGCATGCTTCCACTTCACCCTCAGATATCGACGAATGCTCATTGCCCGGTGTCTGTGATCCACATGCGACGTGTCGGAACTTTGCCGGTTCTTTTGAGTGCATATGTGGCGAAGGATTCACTGGCAACGGATTTCAGTGTGAACCAATCACAAATGCTACGGAGAGTAAGGAGCACTGCACTTTTATGAACTTGAGAAATTATACCGATATTTGCATGAGCTCGACAATCTGCAAGCTTGTTTTATGGTTCTATATACATATTACTTGCCACGCACTTTTACACTCAAGATACCTTTTGGAAAGAAAGGCTACTTAGCCTAAAGTGGCTCTATTTGTGCCAAATTCGTCACCGCCTTCTGCATGGACCACATTTATCGTGACATTGTGGCTGACTCACCAGCGCAGCACATGTACTGCATGCGGAAAACGCGGCGTCAGATCTTTACATCTCTGCGTCTCCTTCATACGCATGTTTCCTGCCTGACTCAAAGGCGCTCAAGACGCGCGCGGCCACAAAGAACGCAACTTGTGCATTGTCTGCGACCTCCACACCTTACTAGTGGTTCTACAATACAATTGGTGTGTGAGACTGCAAAAAATTGTCCATTCAATGTGGAAAAAACACTTATATCGTTCGAGACATTCTATGTCTCCATCACATTTCTACCTCCTCCTTCCAGGTCCAAACTGTCATCTGGACACTCGCCTTTGTCATGATAATGCTAACTGCATGGCCGATGGCAAGTGCAAATGCCGACCTGGTTTTGAAGGAGACGGAATCGAGAACTGCACTCGTAAGTTACGCTAGGAAATTTGAGATGGTGACTCTGATTTCAATTAATACGTTTCAGAAATCGCCACCTCATCCCCATCAATCAGTGAATCGACAACCCCAAGCACAATTACCAGCGCCATTTCCGCATCTGAGTCCTCAACGACGCCAAAAGGCAGCGTTGTGGGAACAGGCGAAAGAGAGGTTACTGAACTAACCACTGTCGCGACCACGACGCCAGCGGAGAGTTTTGCGCCGACCTCGCGACATGGTAAGGATGGCACCGGCACGTCGTTGATCACCGAATTTCAGGGTAGCTCCACCAGTGAGCCGACATCTATCACATCACCGCACCCACACATTGAATCCACTCTTTCAACAACTCTTGACTCATCATCCAATCTCACTACCGAAACTACACTAATTCACGAAAAAAGCACTACACATGCAGCAGAAATCACAGGTATTGATCGTATCGTAACGATACTGACGAGTGGAGTGAATGTAACCGATGATAACACGACTGATACTACTAGTAAACAACTACATTCAACATTGTCTGTCGATACTAATCAACCAATGGATAACCTGACAATTTACACAACGGAAAGACCTTACATCACACCGATTCTCATCGAAGTCACAAATTCACTCGTAGTACTGCAACCTGGGACACTTCGCCCAGATGAGGTCATTACGGGCGTATCATCTAAACATGAGATACCTATCGGAAAGTCAGGTGTGGTCACTTCTGGCGTGCTCCATCGTGGCACTACTCTGTCGACATCAGAATCTCCTTCTACAGTTATGGGATCAACGACAGATTTTCCAGAAGATCTGGGAGTAACGGGAAGAGGCTCCATAGTTCAAGTCACGGGTAAAATTTCAAAAAATGAAACCCGAGTACCTCCCATCAGGGGTTCTACTGTTACGTCTCTACCTGTGACCCTGTCCAGCACATCCACTTCTCCAAGCGGGGAGACTCCAACCTCCCTTTCGACCCTTTCTGCTGAAACACGAACTCCCCCAGAGGATGAGGTAACCTCAAGCACGGAAAGTGATCACGCCACTGATGAAGTTACTACTGAAGGCGTTGAGATTGTCACACTACCCAGCACAGATACAACAGATACCTCGGTACAGAGCACTTTGTCTGAAATTCTCAAAGACTCCTCAACCCAATCCACCACAAGCAAAAAGGTTGCAAGTTTAGAAACGCTTAAAACTTCTGGATCCACAACGAAGGCACCTGAAGGATTAGCACTACATCCAAGTACCCAGACATCGAATAAAACTACAGAAAAAGTCCTTGGGTCTACTTTGCCTGGTCATATCAGCCCCACACCGAAACCCATAGATGCTAAAAAGACCACTATTTCATCCGACAGGAAGAATTTTACCTATGGAACTACTGATGATGGTATAGACCACGAAAAAACGGATGCGTTCTTACTTTCAACTGCAACTACGGCATTCAATCCCACAGAAGAAGCAAGTGGATCGGACGTACCTTTGAGAACTACTACGGAATCGACTACTCTAACATCTGAAAAAAGCTATTCATCCATGATACCTTCAAACAGGTCAAGCTTAAGTGATAGAGACACTGACGGTGAACAAGGAAGGTCTAGTCTAACTCCTAGAATATCATCTGAAGATTTCGGTGCAGAATCTTCAGGAGAACCGGAACTTACTGTGGCGGGAAGTAAAATAACGCTGAGCACCACTCACTCAAGTGCAGATGTCAGCGGCGAAGAGTTCATTGGAAACGGCACTACCATGCATCCGCACGCTGCAATCGTTACAGCCACTGACATTACTGGAGAGGTGAATGTGCCAGAGGAAGTGGTCGCTGGTCAACGTACTTCTGCAGAGGGTACAGAATCAACCAGGTCTGCGATTCTCGGAAGTACAGAGCCTACCTCTCGCAAATCCACTACATCCGGCAAACTTGAACCAGCTTCAGCTACATCAGCGCCTGCAAAGTCTACGAAGCAATCACAACCTTCTTCACGGCGACCACTCACAACCTTCAAACCTGCACCTGAGGGGCTACGCAGTACAGATGAGCCGAGTTTTACCATCACTGAAGACACTGCCTATCCTAAAGGCAAAGGAGCAACAAGAAGCGGTATGGAAAAATTTTCGACTTCGACGATATCCTCTACTAGTTCTGCAACGCACTACACTACATCAGCGGAAGGCGCGGAGATCTTGTCCACTCCTGAGGGAACTGGAGCAGATGTTGTAAGCACTGCAGAAACGAGTTCCTCTCAAGGACATACGTCCAGTCCCACGTCTAGTGATGTTACTTCCGTGACAGCGAAGCCTTGGACGCCATCGACAACACAGGCTAGTAAAGTCCTAAAGCCTTCGACAAGCAGTTCTAAGGCTATTGAAGAAACCACTGAAAGCTCGATGACTGCCGAAGAGGGTACAGAGACAGAGCCACGTAGCTCTGTCACTTCGGAAGGTGCTACAGAAAGACCAAAAGCTACAAAACCTTGGATCATAACCGGCATACCCATATCGGAAGAGGTCTTAAGTAGTGATAGACCTAGACCTTCGCATGCAACAAAACCTTGGATTATCACGGGAGCACCTACATCGGAAGAGTTCTTAAGCACTGACATGCCCTCCAGCAAAACATTAAGACCAAGAGTTGAGCTCGTAACCGCTTCTATAGAAGGTAGTGGGACCAGCGACAGTTCATGGCCGAAAAGACCTGGTTTTGCAAGAAAACCTTATACTAGCGCTTCCGAGGAATCTACCATGTCCACAACAACAATAATCGAAGCCTCCGGAACTTCACCATGGGATGAAGAGATGACAACGATCTCGTCCCGGGAAGAAATTCTGACTAGTGCCGAGAACTTGACCACTTCTGGCGAAGTTACGGACTTGAGCGGAAGAAGAGTGACTTTAGGAAGCGTCAATATCACCAAAACAGACAAAGAAAACTTGGAAGGAATTACTGAAGTATCTTCTGGAACACGATCCACAGCACGCACGCAACCCAAGAAGCAGACGGAGGATAGTGTAAGAGCATCTACGGTATCGTCGCAAAATCTTACAATCAACAAAGAGCACATCACTCACAGTGCAGCTACTAATGAATCCAGCTCAGAAGCTGATTTCACAGCCCGCACTGGTTCAACCAAGGCTCCTACCTCGGATTCACACACTTTAAGCTCAGACCGGCACCAAACCATAGATCACTTCGAGCAAAATGCCTCCACAATCACTGCCATCACCGACGGAGTCACTCATGACATCAATGTCGTCACACTGAGCACTGTCGAAGGTATCAGCTCGAGTCGAACGCACAAGCGCATGTCTGCGGCACTCTATCTTTCTATCCACTTCTAACTTTCATAGCTTACAACTCACTGACTGGAGATTCTCCGCTAATACTAGCGTGCTTCTAACCAACACTCTCTGCCGAATTCGCATGTAAGAAATGGCTTTGGGCTTATATACCCCCAACCGCTTGCTTTGGGGTCCACTCATTCACTGAATCTCTGATTCTAATAATTTTTACTTCAGGCACATCATCTTCAACTACCATACAGCCAACAGCAGAAGTTACTCAACCATCTTCACCTACCATACAATCAACAGCAGAAGTGACTCAACCAGCGGACACACTATCAACCACTGAAGGTGAACCATCCAGCACCGGCACGACTTTATCACCACAGCCAACATCATCGTTCAATGTGTCGTCTGTCACAAGCACAGCAATCCCATCTGAGAGTTCTAACGTAGAAGGGATTAGCACAACTATGTCATCGTCTTCTGGCACCATCCTCACCACAGTGAGCTCAATAGAGAGTTCTACCGTTGGAGGCAAATCTGACACGACACCACTCACAGCGTCATCCACGAGCACTTCGGGCATTAGCGTACTCCCTACCAGGACACCCGGTCCAGAGGAACAAACCGCAACAACCACAGGAGAACAAAGCACTGTGGTACCTGCATCGGAAGTGACAATCACCCCCAGCACTGAAGGAGCACAAGGCTCAAGTTCGAAATCAACATCAGGAATCGGTGCCACAAGCACTTTTCCAACGGGTGTGACCAAGCCTAGTACAGGAAGCGCTGAAGCTACACGTATCACTTCGGTGTCGCCAGGAGAGTTTGGAACTAGTTCCATTAGCACGACTTCCTCGGAAATTGCATCTACCTCAACAACAGGTAGTTCCGCCAGGACTACCACGATAAGACCAATTTCATTGAACCTTACCACCATCATACCAACTTCTGAAGGTGAAGTAACTGGTACAACTTTAGAAGGAACAGGCGTTACCGGTCCTTCCTCACGGACCACAGTTGGTTCAAGGACGGGTGTCAGTGAGAAGACCACCAGCACCCCATCCGGGGTGACCGTGCCTGCTGGTTCTACTCTGCCATCCACTCGAGAGCGAGCGGATGTTGCCGGTCCCCTCTCAAAAGCCACAGACACTCCGGAAACGGGTCGCAATGAGAAGACAAGTACCACACCATCAGGAGTGACCGACACCATCGGGTCTAGTAAATTCGCACAGACTTCAGAAGGGACAGAGACTACTAAGCCATTTTCAAAAGCCACAGTAAGTTCAGGAAGGGTTGGCAGCGAGGACGCAAGTAGCACACCGCCAGGAATTACCGGCACCTCTGGATCTACTACGTTGGAGCAAACTTCAGAAGGAACAGAAGTAATCGGCTCCAGCACAATCACTGCGCGGACGGGTGGTAGTGAAGAGATGAGTAGCACACCATCCGGAGGGACCGACACCACTACTTCTACAACATCGGAACGGACTCCAGAAACAGCAAAACTTACCAGCTCCAGTACAGTCACTTCAAGCGCTGGATTCAGTGAGATGACGAGCAGCACTGCAACAGGCGTGACCGAGACTGCTAGTAGTACTAGTATGTTAGCACAGATGAGCACCGGCACATCTTCCCCGGAATTTCGAGTCCCTCCTATTACTCACAGCGCCGAAACGACAACTGTCACGGAGACGAACACTACAGACCTGTCTCCAAGAAGTTCAATTACAGCAGAATCTGTGAGTTCCAAAGGAGCAACATCAACGCCTCCGGGTACATTGGAAGCTAGCACGCCTTTGAGTCATCGAGTTACTGATCAAACATCTGAAGAGATCCATTCTACTACCGAAGCTCCTGTCTCATCGATAAAGACTGGCACGACAGTAAAAACGACAACTTCGGATATGACTGTAACAACTGAGGCAGAAAGCGCTACTACAGGAGAAGATACTGGGGAGAGGACTGGCAGGACGCAGGAAAGTACTGCAACTTCCAGTCCACCTCTGTCAACAATTAGCTCTGGTAGCTTTGAAAGCAGTACTGATGTTACTTCAGCGGGTTCTAGAAGCACCTCCACCACTTCAGCGACAGGAACAACAAGCTCTTCAACAGCGATCAGCACAACTTCTGTCACAGGAAGCGCTACCTCAACGACAGTTAGTGCCACTGATAGTACGACCACAGGTCCTGCTAGTGGTTCAACTCTGTCCACAGCTGAAGTCACTTCTACCAGAAGCGCAATTCCCGGCGAAGAAGGAATCAGCAGCACAGCTGAGACAAGCGCAAAGGACAAATCCAGTACACCTTTCCCAGAAGTGACTCTCTCAGCCGGAACAGTCAGCAGCCAAAAACGAACTAGCGTGACGTCCTCAGTTATGGGAAGCATCAGGCCATCGCCAGAAAGCGCTGTTTCTGGCACTTTTACTTCGGAAAAACGCACTACATCTGCCTCAATCAGCTTTGGAACAGACAGCACTTCAGGAAAAGTTTCATCGGAAAGTAGCACCGTCAGCACTTCTTCTTCCAGGTTTACTGTCACAATTCAGAGTACTACAGAAGAACATAGTACCTTGTCAGGGGTGTCAACAGCAGGCATTAGCACTACCAGCACCCGAACTCCAGAGGTCACTTCCATTCGAAGTAGCGTGGAGGATTCAAGTAGTCCACCGTCAGAAGCAACAACAGGAGGAAAAATTGGTAGCACATCTGGTATCGAGGCGACAGTTTCTCCCAGCACGGACGCGATCGGAGTGAAAATAACTCTGACCGAAGAAAGTGAGGGCGCCACAACACTTTCTACCCAAGAAGCAATCACTTCCGAAACGGAAGGTTCCGGGGAGACTATCATCACAACATCACAACCTACCGAGACTACTGCGAAAACAATAGGCTCCACTCCATCTACTCCAGAAGAAACCAGTAAATCATCTAAGGTCCCTGTTGCTACTTCATCTACGATGATCACTCAGTCAAGCGAGGCAACGGATACCGACAAAACATCGGCAACACCTGGTTCTGCGACCACAGCGTCATCCATCACCCTCACTCCGGAAAGGTCCGAAATACCCAGCACAATCACTCCATCCCCTTCGTCAGCAACAACATCCCCATCTCACGGTAAGCAAACTGAAACCAGCACCGGTTCTAGCACTGCACCAAGCACAACAACATCACTGCACGAGCCTTTCACGAGCACTGCACAGCCTTCACCTGCACTTTCAACCACGTTTTTATTGCCAAAAACTTTTGAACGAGCAAGAACTACTGAAAATCCAGATATCCCCGAGGAATTTCCAGGTGTGACTGAGGGAGTAGACGACACCTCTGGGTTTAAAACAGTAGAACACCTTATAAGTACCAGTACTACGACAGAAACCGCAATTGTTGTAGAAGTAGTTGTACCAGACGACACGAATAACCCAACAACGATAGAGTCGTCCACAGAAAAGAAAGAGATTAGCTCTTTAAGGTTATCCATAGGTGGCAATAGCACCACATCAAGCACTAGTTCTCCAACAATATCGTCGCCCTCTACAGAAAAGTTAGAGCCAAGTGACGTCACAACCAAAACCATAAAATTGTCCCCCTCATTGCAAACTCTAAGTACTCAGACAAGCAGTATTAGTTCTTCTTCAACCTCCGGAGAACCGAAGGACGGCTCTGTGAGTACCGAAGTAACAATAATCCCAGTAGAAGACAGAGGAACTACTCCAACAACATCGGTCACCAAGAAAGGAACTTCACTGGTGGAAACAAGCATCCGTACAGAGGATATAACAGAGACCACTAGTGCTCTGGGATTTTCCACGGATGCTTCCATTAGCGAGGCGACTTCTGACAAAGCAATTGTACCAGAGCTCATTACTCAGATGAGCAGTATCAGCTCTTCTTCAACATCCAAAGATGGTTCTACAATTACCGAAGTGACAAGAATCCTAATGGGAGACAAAGAAACTACTCCAACAACATCGGTCACTAAGAAAGGAACTTCACTAGTGGAAACAAGCACTCGTACAGAGAATGTAACAGCAACCACTAGTGCTCCGGAATTTTCC